CCTTTAGGAATCCATCAGTAATTGTATTCTATTATTAATTCATTTCTGGCACTGATCTAATGTTTCAAATTTGTTAAAATCGATTGCAGAAAGGTGACGCTAAAGAGTAACTTCACATATCCATGTCGGTCAACTTGATCGATGCGAAAAGATCAACTTGCAAAATGACTTATGAAAAGTGACCATTTAAACAGTTATTCTCCCAAATATCTCGGATGGCTGATTTTATGTTAATTCTGCGCGGAATCTAGGTGCCAGCAAGTCCGCACAGAATATGGAATGTATTTGCAGAAGGAGGACCATCTACCTAATCTAGACTATCATCTGTTTGCCTCTGCAAATGGGAATTGACACTTTATGCATGATATATTGGCCAATCCCTCATTTGACATTGTAAGATGAAGTCCGAAGAAAAGCAACTAAATTGTGCTTTTACCCTCGAATCCATGCTGAGCCCAGCCTTAGATGAGGGTAGCCAAAGCGTGATTGAATTAGTTCTCAAGTATAACGTCCTCCTTTACCACATATTACTAATAGGTAGAGCCTTGAAATCAGGAGTGGACGTCTTTTACCTCTTTTCTATTCTCGTCCCTATCTCGCCTTTGTTAATACCGCCCATTTTCCTCATTTATTCTTGCCTTACCTCATTACCAATCCATTGGTGAATTTTGCTTAACATTCTTTCATGGCAGTAGCTTCATTGACCAAATTAACAGACCTTTGCAAAACTAGCTTCAAAGAGTCTGATTATCTGCTCTTTAAATGGCCATTTCTAGAAAATCCTTTCTTTTTTCGATTTCTAAGCATCTCTAAGGTGGGTGTACTGAAAAATACCAAGAATAAGAGAAGAAGGACAGCCATTAGATTATTACAATTATTTTAAAACTTGAGGTGGCTTCAGCGGCAGAAAGGTAATCAGGATTTACCTTTTTAAGTCGAATGAGACCAGGGGAGTTCATATAAATGAGCATAAAACTAAACGAATTTCTCAGCCAAAATCGACTCATTGTGTAGATTTCACGATTGTCTGGCTGTTGAAGGGATGGAAACTTCATTAATAGCCCCACAGTTGATCATTTTAGAACTGATTGCAGAGGCCGTTGACTTTGCATTTATGTTAGCTTCCATGATAGTTCTACTTTTCTGGTGTATATAAAAGGTAGTTGAATCAGACCTGCTTTCCTAAATTCCTAACAACTCAACGTGCCATATCACTGGTGCTAAGCGATGACGATGGGTGAGGTTTCCTTTCCTGATTTCTAAAACAAAATTAAAAGTACCAATTGTTAAGACTGCTAAACTGACAACAAGCCACCTTGGACTCCAAAGTCAAGACTCCATGTCGTCAATTTTGGTATGAAGCCTTGGTGAGGACGGTCAGTGCATGGTGGGATGAAGGGGCAGAAAAGATTTACTTCGGAGGTGAATGTATGAGAAGACATACACGTGAGAGGAGTACATTCCTGTTCTGTTATTAAAGGTCTCATTTAAAGGAGCTTCCTTTGCCTACACCTATCGGATAACAGGTGAAAGGACGGTTCTCGATTGTGTGATTGCCTCGGCCGTGAAATAGACAATTTGATTTAGCCTACTTTCATTGCAAAATAGTTGGCGCTGACTCACTGAATCAAGCAACGCTTTGCTACGCTGAGAGGAGGTAGGGAATCTTAAAAAAATCGTCTCTGGTTTTACACGGGCTGCATCAATGTGTGCAAGTGGAACAAGAGACCATTGCTCCTACTAGTCAACTTTGCGGTAACAGTGGAGATGAATTGTCAGACGAAATGTTCCTGCTAGCACATGAAATGGTATGCGTGAAGAGATTATTAAAAAGTGGGTTATTTGAGAAGGCATCAGTAAGGTGATTTCGACAGCAGTAAATTCAGCTTAGACTACTTCGTTCCCCATCCGCCATCTGTTACACCTTTTGGAGAGTTTGCGGTCCTCGCGGAGTGAACTAAAGCAGCTAAATGTCAATTCACCAAGGGACCACTGTTAAAGCCAATGCACAAGTGGTTTTGCGGTGCTACTTGCCTATTTAGT